GAGGGAAACTGAGGCCCAGGGAAGCTCTGGGCCTGTCCAAGCAGACAGGTGCCTGAGCGAGGAAAGGGGAAGCGAGCAAGGCCTCCAGGCAGCAGCCAGGCGGCTGGCACGTTTTGCTGGGCCCGTGGGGCACCCAGTCTTCCCAGCGCTGGCCGGGATGTCCTCAGGCTTCTGGCTTCTGCAGAGGGGTGGGCGGGCGGACCCGGTGGGGGTGGGCAGGACCCAGTGGGGGTGGGTGAGGGTGGGCGGGGCCCGGTGGGACCCAGGACTGTGGAGGGCAGGGTTGGGTGCAGGTGGACTGGGCACTAGAAGGGGGCAGGGGACAGGAGCAGGCCCAGGGAGCCTGGAAACCCCACGGCTTCCGCCCCCTCCTCACCCTCTTGGAACCAAATGCCTGAGGTCTGGGCTGCCCTAGGCCTCCCGAGGGGCCCCTGGGAGCTCTGAGGGCTCCTGACACTCATCGGGGGGCCTGGAAACCATCATCGGGGGACGGTGACACCGCTGCCAGGACGTCCAGGGGCAGGGAGGCCAGATGCAGGTGGAGGGGGACCTCAGCTGCCCGCAGGGAGTGTCCGTGTGGCTTCCCGCTGTCCCGGGCACTGCACTGCCCTGATGCTGGGCCGGAGCAGGGTGGCCGAGCAGACAGAGGGACCCACTGTGCAGCCCGCACAGGGCTGAGCCGGCCCCAGGGCCCAGGGGAGAGGCTTCAGCCCCCCTGCAGGGCACAGAGGTCTCAGAAGACTGGCACCTCTCCAGATGGCCCCACAGATCAGCCTGGTGGGAGCACCCTGCTCACTGACCCACAGCTCCAGGGACCCAGAGCCAGCTGGGTGACCCTTAGTGAGGTCGCTTCCCCTCTCTGGGCCTCACTCCCATCATCTGCAAAAATAAGTGACGAACACATTCCACCTGAGCCTAACAGATTCCACCTGAGCCGTATCTGCCCGCATGGCAGCGACTCCCCAGAGCAGGGTGCTGAGGGGGATTCTGCAGTTGCGTTCCTGGCTCATGGGAAGGTGTGCTGGGATTGATTGGTGATGCCTGTCCTGGGCGTAGGGCTACACCTGTGGTATATGTGCCATCCCTTCTCCAACCTCGTGTTGGGTGGGGGTTGTGTTTGGCGTTGGAGCCTCTGTTTCTACAGATACTGGGCCTCCCCCTGAGGAGACTGCAGAGCCAGCAGAGCGCTTCCTCATGGGGCTCAGCTTCCCCATTGAGTACGTACCGAGGACCCTGTGAGCGAGTTTCATCCTCAGTCCTGTCACAGGCCCGGGTCAGAGATGCTTCCAGAAGCTCACAGTCTGGGGGAAGAGAGAGGGGAGGAACCATACAACGAGAAAGCAAGAGCGAAAATGCCCGAGTCCTCAAGAGAGGAGAAGCACAGTCCCTGGGGAATGAAAAGGGGGCGTTGTAGGAACCCCTTTCACATCCCACTTGGCTCAGGGTTCCGGTTGAGGGTCCGGGTTCTGGAGAAGGCCGCACACAAATGCAAAGAGACTAGAAAATGTATTAATTTGGCGATATCGGGGGCCAGGCGGGAGCCCACCTCTAGGGGGAGGACTACCCACTGCTCTGGCCCTGCTATCCCTTTCATAGAGGCTATGGGAGACACTCATAGCCCTTAGGCAGGTAATAACAGAAATTCACCTAAGACCACAGAGGTAGGGGCTGCTTCAGCTAACAATGCCTCAACTAAACCGTGAGTGGTTAAGGCTGCTGACCAGCCTTCCTGACTTCCTGTCCACATCTCTCTGTCAGTGAGTCAGTCAGTGATTGGTTCCCGGTAAGGTGTGGCTATGAATTCGCGTGACGGGGGTCCGAAGTGGCCTCCCGAGGACAGTCACCTCTGACCCTGTCTTCAGAGGGCAGGTATGACCTGTCTGGTCTCCCCAAACCCTTGCGTGGAACTCCTGCCTCGGATTGGATGGGGAGCATTTCCGGGAAATTCTTCAAGAATGTTCGCGTGGGCTGTTCCCCCGGGATGCCCTCCCTGAGCATGGTCACTTAGGATGCATGTTGGCCGAGACCTCCCAGGGCCAGCAGCTGCAGGGGGGAGGGGGGGGGGGTCCCGGGACTCCTGCTCCAGGCTCACTTCAGATCTGCAGAAAAGTCCATGCGGACCGCCTCCCTGAGCACGTGCAAATGAGTCCCCTTGGGACCTCCCCCCAGAGCCCGGGCTGCCTTCCTTCATTCACGAAATAAGTGTTTACTGAGCATCTACTATGTGCTAGACCGGCGGTTCTCAACCTTCCTAATGCCGCGGCCCTTTAATACAGCTCCTCATGCTGTGGTGACCCTCAACCATAAAAATTACTTTCGTTGCTACTTCATAACTGTAATTTTGCTACTGTTATGAAACGTAATGTCAATATCTGTGTTTTCCGATGGGCTTAGGCGACCCTGCTAATGGTTCTCAACCTGTGGATTAAGAACCGCTGCTGTAGCCGAAACCGGTTTGGCTCAGTGGATAGAGCGTCGGTCTGCAGACTGATAGATCCCGGGTTTGATTCCAGTCAAGGGCATGTACTTTGGTTGCGGGCACATCCCCAGTAGGGGGTGTGCAAGAGGCAGCTGATCAATGGTTCTCTCTCATCGATGCTTCTAATTCTCTGTCCCTCTCTCTTCCTCTCTGTAAAAAAACAATAAAATATATTTCTTTAAAAAGAAAAGAAAACTGCCATAGAGTCTAAGTAGGGGGAGTACAGGAGGCAGCCGAATGATGTTTCTCTCTCTCTCTCCCTCCCTCCCTCCCTCCCTCCCTCCCTCTTTCCCTCTCTCCCTCTCTCCTTTTCTCTTCCTCTCTTTCTCTCTCTCTCTCCTTCTCTCTTCCTCTCTCTCTAAAATCAACAAGAACCTTTTCTTTTTAATTAAAAGAAGACACTGGGGCAGAAGCCTGTGTTGAGTAAGGAAGCGAGACATGTGGCTACCTGGAAGAGCATCCTGGGAGCGGGATCCGCAAGTGCAAAGGCCCTGGGGTGGGGATGTGCCGGGCATGTTAGAGGAGCAGCAGGGAGACCTGGGACGCGGGGGTGGAGGGGCAGGGGGTGGGCATGGGGGCAGTGGAGTTCCAGGGCTCAGTACTGGCTATCCCGTATAGAATAAGAAAGCCACATTTGCTCTAGCAAGGAAGGAACTGCCAGGGATGGAGGGCGGAGGACAGACGGGATCTGCTGAGGGCGGGGAACGAGCAGGAAGACCAGTGTAGCTGTGGGGCCCATTTCTCCTCTGGATGGGGGGTCGGGGGGTGGCGTGGGCCTGGCTTCTGGTCAGAGCAGATTTCAGGGGGATTTAAGGGTTCCTGTGACCCTCCGCCAGGCCGGGCCCCAGGAGGGCGGGGCGGAGAGTGAGGGTGGCCCCGCTTCCGGGGCCCTGCGTCCGCGGCCTCCTGTCCGGGGCAGGAGGATGTTCTCACTGGCAGGGAGGAAGCCGCACACCCCACATCAAAAGGGGGGCCCAGGTGGCTCCCACGCTCGGTGTCGTGGGAACCCTGCTCCCCTGGGTTCTCGCAGGGAGCCTGCAGGTTGGGAGGGGCTGGGGCCGCTTTGGGGCTGTCCCCCAGATCCCCGATAGGTAAACAAAAACCAGCCCCGCCGTCACACCCCACTCCCCACCCTCTCCCCAGGAGCGCGGCTGACGTTGGCAGCCCGGGGCTCTGTGGTTTTTTTAGGGGCGCCACAGATTGTAAGAAAGCCGAGACCTAAAATGCTCCCAGGCCAGAGGCTCGGCAAGATCAGGGCCAGGAGCTGCCCCCACATCAGCCAGGCGTGCTGTGCGCATGGAGCCCGCTCCCCGGTGCCAGCTGTGCCCGCCAGGGGCCGGGGACAAGGCAGCATCAGGCAGGCTCAGTCCTTAGCTAGCAGGCTGTGGGGCTGCAGCGGCTTCTTCCCCAGCTGTCCCTGCCCCCTCCCTGCCTGCACCCCTTCCCCTTCCTGCACCCCTTCCTGGCACAGCCCCCGGGCCCCCGGGCTGCCCCTGGCTTTCAGAACACACTTCTTTTTTTGGTTTGTTTTTAAATATATTTTTATTGATTTCTTACAGAGAGGAAGGGAGAGAGATAGTTAGAGAAACATCGATGAGAGAGAAACATCGATCAGCTGCCTCCTGCACACTTCCTACTGGGGATGTGCCCGCAACCAGGGTACATACCCTTGACCGGAATCGAACCCGGGACCTTTCAGTCCGCAGGCCGATGCTCTATCCACTGAGCCAAACCGGTTTCAGCAACATGTAGAATTTCATTGACTTTTCACAGCAAACAGAAGGAAGGTGCCATGTTACCCCGTGTTACATAGGAAACAGGCTATGAGGAGGAGGAGGAGGAGGAGGAGGAGGATGTGCTGTGGGTCACTTAGCTGGACAGTGGTTGACCTGAGATATGAGAGCAGCCCCCAAAGTCAGGGCCCTCTGGGGGGAGTGCAGAGAGGACACACAGACGGCATTTTCCTAGGGTCTCTTCTTGTGAACAGAGGACGATGCCCGGGACTCAGGCGCTGACGGCAGTAGATACCGCAGAGATGCAAAAAAATGTCCGTTACCAAGTGTCTTTGGAAAACCTGGGTGTACCATCGCCAGCTGTATTTCCGTAGGCAGGACTTATCAGAGCCTTTAACGTGCTCCTGTATGTTGTGAATTTCCCAGGAGGGAGACTTTGAAGTGTTTCCTAACTTACTGGATCCCCGGATCCTTCTTTCCCAAAGCCCCTGATGGGGATTAGTGCCTCTTGCAGCAGCCTGGGAGAGGGAGCCGCGGGAGCCCGGGTGCTCTGACCAGGGAGGAGGCCGGCTGCAGAAGGGGGGAGAGTCTCGGCACCACGGCTAGGGGTTCATTCCTTCATAACGGGGTGAGGCCCTGGCCACACCCACCTTGCCACAGAAGGATGTGGGAGTAGGAATGCAGTTCTCTGGGGATCGGTCTGGATGACAGGCACAGAGCTGTCAGTCACACTGTGCCCGGGCCCCTTGATCCTCCGGTGTGGGGACCTCAACCTCTTCTCCCCTCAGGGTCCCCGCACTTCCGGTGAAGAACCTGAATGGGAGCGGCCCGGTCCACCCGGCCCTGGCAGGTGAGATCCAGCCCGCTAGGAAGCAAGGAATAGAGTCCACCTGCTGGCTTCATGCCTCCATCCCTTAAGGAGCTCTTGGGCGGGGCCCAGAGTTCACACCCTCCCTCTGTGTGGGCGGGGCCGCAGAAGGCATTCTTTTTTTAAAAAAAATATTTTATTGATTTTTCACAGAGAGGAAGGGAGAGGGAACATCGATGAAGCATCGATGAGAGAGAATCATCCATCAGCTGCCTCTTGCACACCCCCTACTGGGAATGTGCCCAAAACCAAGGTACATACCTTTGACCGGAATCGAACCTGGGACCTTCCAGTCCGCAGGCCAACGCTCTATCCACTGAGCCAAACCGGTTTCGGCAAGGCATTCTTCTTGGCTTCAATCTGGGGTGGGGTTGCAGGGGGTGGAGGAGGCCCAGGGCACACCCCACTCGTCCACCTGAGAACCCCAAGAGCCCTGGATTCAGGCAGGTGGGCGGAGTCTGAGAGAGAGGCCACATGCCTACACCCAATAGCAGGAGGGTGGGAAGTGCGTGTGGGCGGGGCCTAGAGGACGCCCCGCCCCTGACGGCCCCGGCCACGCCCCCAGGGATGACCGGGATCCTGCTCTGCGCCGCTGGGCTGCCCGTGTGCCTGACCCGGGCACCCAAACCCATCCTGCACCCGCCCCCGGTGAGCAAGAGCGACGTCAAGCCGGTGCCCGGCGTGCCCGGCGTGTGCCGCAAGACCAAGAAGAAGCACCTCAAGAAAAGTACGTCCTCCGTGCCCCCCACACACACCCCTGAACTGAATCCCGTTAACCCTGGACCACAATCCCTCCGACGCCCAGCTCCAATTTGCTCTTGGACTTAGGACCTCACCTCCATGTCCTGATCTCAATTCCCGTTTCCCCGACCCCTTCTGCTCGAACTCCAATTACATCCCACCTGCAGCAGCCCCTGACCTTTCACCCCTGGCAACCCCACCTCTGCAACCCCTGACTCCATCGGAGCTGCCTCGGCCTGGGGGTAAACTCCGGGCACCCTCAAGCCCACCCCCTTGTGTCCTTGCAGGTAAGAACCCTGAGGATGTGGTTCGGAGGTACATGCAGAAGGTGAAGAACCCACCTGATGAGGTGAGGGCCCGCGACCACGGACCTGGGCTGAGGGCAGCCCTGCCTGCAGAGGCCCTCTCTCTCCCCTTCCCTCCTCTGCCCTCCTCTGCCCTCCCTTCTCCTCCCCTTCTCTCCCTTCCCTCCCCTCCCTCCTCTTCCCTCCCTTCTTCTCCCCTTCTTTCCCCTCCCCTCCCCTCTTCTCCCCTCCCTTCTCCTCCTCTTCTCTCCCCTCTCCTCCCTTCCTCTCCCTTCCCTTCCTTCTTCTCCCCTTCTCTCCCTCTCCCGCGCCCCCAGAAATTCCTCCTGGTTCTGTTATGGTCCCTCCTCCCAGTTTATGTGTTTGCCCTTTCACTTTCTCAGCAACCTCTTTTGGTCAACAGAAAAGCTGAGTGTCATAGAGTCACAGGTGCCAGTCTTTGGGTGATTGGCCGTGTTTGTATCTTATTTTCACCACGGTTTTTAGTTATGCTGCTAATAGTCCTTAATCCTTTGGGGGGGAGGCACATATCTGAATTTGGAGGATGGGCGTCCGAATTGGGTGACAGACGGGCACCCGAGAAGGGAGTCCTGCCCGCCCAGCCCTCACCCGCCCTGTGCCCGCAGGACTGCACCATCTGCATGGAGCGGCTGGTCACGGCGTCCGGCTACGAGGGCGTGCTGAGGCGCAAGGGGGTGCGGCCAGAGCTGGTGGGCCGCCTGGGCCGCTGCGGCCACATGTATCACCTGCTGTGCCTCGTGGCCATGTACTCCAACGGCAACAAGGTGGGCTGGGGGCGGTGCGTGGGCGGCTGGCGAGGGGGCCCGGGGGAGCGGGGGCCTCGGGGACCTCACCCCGCCTCCCCCGCCGCAGGACGGCAGCCTGCAGTGCCCCACCTGCAAGGCCATCTACGGGGAGAAGACGGGCACGCAGCCCCCCGGGAAGATGGAGTTCCACCTCATCCCCCACTCGCTGCCGGGCTTCGCCGACACCCAGACCATCCGCATCGTCTACGACATCCCCACTGGCATCCAGGTGAGCCCCCGGGGCCCCTGACGCCCCTCCTCCCACCCCTCCAGGGCCTCCCCCCTACTCCTGTCTGCGGTTCCAGCCCCTGAGCTCGGCTGCTCCTTCCCGCAGGGCCCTGAGCACCCCAACCCGGGCAAGAAGTTCACCGCCAGAGGCTTCCCGCGCCACTGCTACCTGCCCAACAACGAGAAGGGCCGGAAGGTGGGTGTCCTGAGGGGGCGGGGCCGCGGGCCAGGGCTGCCTCCCCCACCCGCAGGGACAGGGACGTGACCGCCTACTGTGCGTCTAGCCCTGCCAGGCCCTGCTGAGGCCAAGGTCTTGGATCCATGTTACAGGTGAAGAAACAGCCTCAGAGAGGGCAAGTAACTTGCTCAAGGTCACACAGCTAGTACGTGGTGGAGCCTGTCTGTGAACCCACGCAGTCCAGGCTTTTCACCACCTCACTCTAGGTGTTGTCTGCTTCTACTTATTATTTTTCAAGAGGAACCAGAAATTCTGATTTTTTTAAAATGTTGCCAACGGAGTCACATAGTGTGGGGTCCACGCCAAACTGCAGAGACCCTTTGAGACCCTTCTGAAAGATGAAATAGAGAGGGGCCGGAGACCGGGATGGCAGGACACAGGCTTTATTAAAGAGAAGAGCACCCCTGCCGCTGCTCCCAGAGGGGGCAGGAGAGAACCAGGGCCGGGGGAGGGGGGGAGGTCCATGTAGTTTTAAGGGGAGGAGAGGGGGTGGGGCTTAGGGCACTCAGCACACTGATTGGTGACCTAGGGACTTAGGAATGGGGGGGTGGGGTTAGGGTATTTGGCAGGTGCTGATTGGTGGTTCAGTGCTCAGGAACGGCTGGTTGCAGGTGGGGTTTACCTCTGTCCATCAACTGGAGGAAGGGAGGACCTATCACCTTCCTTCACCCCAGAAGAAACAGGCAGATAGCTTGGAATGAGTCTGTCCTGGGAAGGAACCGGCCAAGCCCAGCGGCCACAGGGCATCCTGCTGGGATCAGTAGGCCTCGGGGAGCCACCGCGTGGCCGGGAGGGGAGGCGGGGCTGCCTGTGACCCCGCCCATCGCCACCCGCCACTCCAGGTGTTGCGGCTGCTCATCACCGCCTGGGAGCGCAGGCTCATCTTCACCATCGGCACCTCCAACACCACGGGCGAGTCGGACACCGTGGTGTGGAACGAGATCCACCACAAGACCGAGTTCGGATCCAACCTCACGGGCCACGGCTACCCAGACGCTAGCTACCTAGACAACGTGCTGGCCGAGCTCACAGCCCAGGGCGTGTCCGAGGCCACGGCCAAAGCCTGAGGCCCCGGGCTGCCCACCTTCCCTCCTGCTTTGCCCCTGGCCGGCCACGGGCCTCCCTCCGCCAGGTGTGCCTCCTGGTGGCCCAGGCCCAGGGCTGGGGAGGAGCCCGTGGAAGAAGCCGGATGCGCCCTGGAAACCGGGCTGGTGGCTACTGGGGATGATGGGAAGACGGCAGGCCAACCAGCCTGCTCCGACCGAGCCCTGAGAGGACCGCAGGGAGAGCACCAGGAACCACAGCGACCGCCCTACCGCCAAGACAGAGCCTCAGCCCTCACACAGACACGTGTCCCGGTGAACACACGCACGCGCACCCACGTGCCTCTACTTGCCCCCAGGCCGGAGAAGACACAGGAGACACCTGCGACCCTCCGTGTGGACCCCATGTGTGTCTGTCACCTCCGCACGAGCTTGTCTGCCAGCAGGAGGACTCGGGTCAAGCACTTGGGGACCTGCTGGGGTTCCTGAGGGACAAAGGGGCACCTGGGGCGCCCAGCTGACCCCCCATCTGTGTCACCGCCTCTGCCCCCAGGTTATGGCGCAGCTCTGCAAAGGGGCGGGCCAGAGAGAGGGGGGCTAGAGGTATCTTGCTTTGTGCTTGTGTCTCCTCATCCTCCCACCCATCCATCCCCAGGCCCTTGTCCGTCCATCCCAGGTAAAGGCAATCACTGCTTGCCTTTCTGCCCACGCGCCCCATCCTCCCCACCGATTCGTTTCCAATGTGGAGCTCCTAAGGCTGGAGCTCCTGGCTTAAGGAGCGAGAGGCAGCGGCCTGGTGTCAGCCAGCAGGTCTGCAAAAAAAAGCAGGCAGGAGCGCAGAGCGTCCGCTCCCCTGGCTCGGGAGTGTGGGCCGTGGGGTGGCTGATGGTTTCCACCAACCAGAGGCCTGTTGCCCAGGCAACGCACCAGCTCCGCCTCTGTGGATTGGCTACCGCGGTGGAAGCCAGCCAAGAACGAAAGGGACGCCAGTGATTGCTCTTTTGAAAAAAAACTACCAGTCCCACTGTGGGTGGAGAAATAAACAGCCTTTCTCCTCCTCGCCCTGTCTTTTCCTGCCAAGGAAGGAGGGCGGGGGGCGGGAGGGGGGGGGCCTCTGTTCCTGGGGGCCTTGCAACAAATGACGACCCTAGGACCATTGCCCCTCTGGGCCTGGGGCAGCTGGCGAGGCAGGGTTCCCATGATTCTCTTGTCCTGGGGCAGAGGCAGACCTACCCAGAGGACAGAGGTTGAGGTTTGTTCTTAGGCACACGGTGCTCCCTGGCACAATGACTAGGAATGAGGGGTTCGGCTGGGAGCTCACAGCCTCTGGGGAAATACGGGAGAAAGCTGGGAGACGCCATGGCCAGTTCCTGGGTACCTCCGAACCCCAGTCTCTGCCCTGGAGGAGGAGGGCCAGGTTCTCTCTACCGAGAGAAGAGCCGGGGACACATCCCAGTTTCTGCAACAAGCTTCTCTGATCAGCATTTGCAACAGCCAGGAATTGCCCAGGAGGGTGCTGTGGGTGCTGCGGCTCCGAGCGACCCCTGCTGGCCACACGTGGGATAGCGCCGCATCCTGCTCCACCTCCCAATTCAGGTAGGTTCCGTTTCTGTCCCACCCTACACAGCAATCACACAAAACCAGAGTCCTTCGAGGCCCTACCAGGTCTGCCTGTTGGGTGTTTCCCAACATTTTATCCTCTGGGATTCATTCTGAGACAAACTCTTAATAGGTAAAATCGCCCAGCCTCAGACCCCATGATCATCCAGGTCACCTGAGGAACTTGTTAAGAATCCTGCCACGCTCCTTCAGATTGTGATGCAGTAGCTCCCGGTGCAGCCCAGGGAGCTGTATTTCTAGCAGACACGTCGGGGGTCGGGGGCGGGGGAGAGACTGGGCCACAGTCTGAGAAACTCCCCCCCTGGTTCCGGAGCTATTTCTAAGCCACTCCCTCCTCGTTGTATACATGGGTAAACTGAGGCTGAAAAAGGGGCAAGGAGCCTGTCTGAAGGCGTCCCAGACTCCAAGGGTCTGTCTGGGTCTCGCCCATTGCGCTCCCAGCCTATTCTTCCCGAGGCACCTGATTCTGGAAGCTTGTGGTTAGGACCGTCCGCCAAGGGCAGGGCACGGCTCAAGGGGACCAATGAGGTTACACTGATTGGCAGACGTGAAAACAGGAAGGGCTGAGCCCGTTTAGTGCTTGCCTGGGGCAACAAGGCCATGTGGGCATCAGGGACTCAGGTGCAGCTGTATCCAGCAGCCTCGTGGGGGTGGGTAGAGGCCAGCCCCGTGAAGCAGAGACGTCAGGCTGAGCCGACTGAGTCAGGTCCCTGATGCCAGCCACTCATCTGCCTCATCCCGGAGAGGGAGACTCGTTCGGGGCAAGGCTGGCCCCCTGCCTCCAGGCACCAGGTTTGGGGCTTAGAGAATGTGGGACTAGGAAGTTCCCAGAAGCCTTAGAGCCTCAGCATCAATAAAGAAGGTACAGGACAGCCACAAGGAGACTCCTGGGCCGGGGTCTGCCGAGACCGCCCGGGGGCTCCTCGTTCTTCCTCCCAGCTGGCTGCAGCATCCCCTCAGGGCCTGCGGAGACCCGGGGCCGCCTTCCCCTGCTCCTGCCGCTGGAACTCCTCGTGGGCTCCGTCCAGGTCCTCCAGCACCTCCAGCAGGCGGGCCGCTGCTTCTCTCTGCCCGGCCAGCGCGTCGGGGCAGGCCCCTGGGCGGGAGACAAGGGGACCCCGGGGGCTTAGCCAGGGCAGGGCAGGCTGCCAGAACCCACACCCCGTGGCTTTCTCAGGCTCCAGATCTGCCTTGTGCAGTGAGAATCCTTAGAGGTACTAGCACACACACACACACACACACACACAGCCTTGGGCCTGCAGGTGGACACCAGAGTAGGGGGGTGGAGGTCTCAGGGGTTGGGAGATGTCAGAGCCTGAAAAGGAAAGGGACCGCCTTAACTTAACCCTTACCTTCCATGGCCCCGGAGTCCTCCCTGTCTGCCTCTGGACTCGAATCCGCGTTGAAATCCTCCAGGAATTTCATCCTAGAAATGGGTAGGGAGGAAGACGAGGCTGGTCCCTGCCGTAGGGATTCTCCGCTGGTTGCAGGAGACATTCAGGTTCTCACTCATCAGCACCACCCCCATCCTCATCACAGCCCGTGTCTGTAGAGTCCCGGACACTAGCCTCGGCCCTTCGCATGGGTTCACTTATTCGGTTATCACAAAAAAGGACCCGAGGTAGGTGCTTGCTGTTACCTCCGTTTACTGATGATCATGAGACACAGAAAGGGACAGAACAGCATCACAGTAGTCATCATTCATCGAAAGCTACCTACGTGGCCGGCACCTACATAGGGCTGGCTCTATCTTATATTAGCGCATTTGACCCTCAGGACAACCCCATGAGGCAGGTACTATTACTAACCCTAGTTTCCAAAAGTGGAAACTATGACCCAGAGAAGGTAAGCAACTTGCCTGCGGCCACACAGCCAGCGTGTGGCCAGGCAGGGATTTGAACCGGCGCATGCCAGCTTCAGAACCCACTCTGTAATGAGCTGGAACCAATCTCTGTCGCTGGATAACAATGACCAGGTAGGGGAAGGGGCACAGCTAAGGTCTGGGCCAGGTGTTAGAAGATGCTAAGATCCAGGGATTAGGGTCCACCTGCGGGTGCTTCCCCACCCTCACCCTGAGTTTGCCCTACCCCCTGCCCCACCCTCAGTGGATGCGCGTGGGAAGAATGACTAGTTGAGTAAGGGAGGCCTCCGTGGGCAGCTGGCCCAGCTGGTCACGGGGGTGCAGCGGGATGAGGGGCACCCACCTGAGCTGGTCCCGCCCCAGGAGCAGCTGCCGGTACACCATCTGGGTCTCAGCGTCGGGGTCCAGGGGGTCACTCCAGTCTCCCAGGGTGACGGCCGAGTGTGTGTGGCTGCAACCAGCAGCTGAGGGGACACGGCGTCACCCATAACCCCTCTCATCCCCCACCCCCACCCCACAAGCCCCCTCCCCTTCTGCCTCTTATTTCCAGCCCTGTGGCCTCCACCCTCGCCCAGCAGAGCAGTGGCCTCACCTCTCTCCTGCCTCCCCCAGTCAAGGCGCCACCCATGCAGAGCCCTTTTAACCCTTCTGCCCCTCCGCCTCTGGTCCAGGCCTCTGCTCCCGTTAGCTCGCCGGCGACATCCTCCCTTACCCCCTCCCTGAACCCAGCTTCCCTGCTCCACGCCTGCTCTCCTCCGGTCACAGCTAAGCGGCGCCTCCTCCAGGAAGCCCTCCTTGATTTCCCCCTACCCATTCTTGGGAGCCCCAGAAGCCTCATCCTGGCACTTCTTAGGAAGCTGTATCACAAGCGTCTGGTTATTCGCTTGTCTTCCTCGAGAGCAGGCCCGGTGGCCTGTGTGTGGACCGCTAGATGCCTGAGTGCGTAGCGGGTGCTTGACAGGAACACATCCTGCATTTAATCCTCACAAAACGAGGAGGCAGGCCCTGTTACAACCGCCTTCCACCCTTCAGGAGCCCGAGGGGCACAGAGAGGTTCGTTAACTTGCTCCTCCGTGTGGCTCGGGAGCCCCGATGGCCGATTGGCAGGTGGGGCGTGCGCGTGGTGCAGGCTCACCGGAGAGCTCCGCCTGCAGGCAGCAGGTCCAGCGTGCGCCGCGGAAGGCCCCGGGGTGGCAGGTGGCCAGCTTGTCCGGGTTGGGGGCGCTGGCCTTGCGCAGGGCCGACAGCCACTGGTTGAGGTCGTTCACGTTCTGCAGGGCGCAGTGGTCCGGGGTGAGATGGGACTCGGGGGACACCCTGCTCACCCCACCCCCCACCCCCCACCCCCAGCCGGGGGGCGGCGCCTCACTCTGCACTGGAGGTAGGTGGTGTGCAGCGTCCCTGTGCCGTCCTGGGTCACCACCTGCATGACGTGCGGCAGCTGGAAGGCGCCCTCGTCCACGCGCTCCACGGCGCGGATGTGCGGCACAGGGATGGAGGAGCGCACCTGGGAGACGGGGATGTGGCGGGTGGGCTGGGAGCTGGGGGGGCGGGGGGACAGCTTTCCTCTGGGGGCGTGCACCACGGGGTGTCCCCACTCCGCTGTCCCATGAGCCCCTGCGCTCTAATTCACTGACAGCTTCCCTGGGCCTCCGTGTCCACCATCCCCACCGCCATCCTCCTCCTCCTCCTCACCCTGACATGCGTAGCCCTTGGGATGTGGTTGTAAACACTTGGCATTTACCAACGTGTGCGGGCATCCCAACACATCCCCACGGCCGGGTCCTTTACTCCCCCCCCCCCCCCCGTGTGCAGATGAGGAAACTGAGGCGCAGGAGGTCCTTCGCCCGGTGGGGCCAGACCTGGGTGCACCCAGGGGGTGGAACTCCAGCATCTACGCTCTACGGACCGTGTGGACACACCCAGGTGGCCCCTCGCCGCCGCCGCCGCCGCCGTGAGCTGCTGTTTGTGTTGTGGGCACAGAAGGGGGCGGGCCCAGTGTGCGAGTCTGTCTGTGCGGGACCTGAATGGCCGCCCCGTGAGGGCGGGGGTTCTGTCTCGTTTGCCGCTGCGTGCCCTGCCCGTGCCTGGCCGACCGCCCCCTGCACAGTGGGAACTCGATGAACGTGTAACAACGAATGGGTACGAGTGAGCGGGTGCCCGGCTGTGTGCGCCCAGCAGCCGGGCACGGGCCTCTCCGTGAGCAGATCCGATGGGACGGGGGTCTCCGCGGTCCGTGGGCAGAGACCTGGCTGGGAACAGCTGAGGGCGCTTAAGCATCGGCATGTGTGTGTGTGTCCACGTCGGGGAGGGGACGTCTGGGGGGTGGGGGGTGCATTCTGGAGAGTGTTTGCTGGGAAGGGTGTGTCGGTGCACGCCTGTCCCCGGCCTGGGCCCTCACACCTGGGCCCACGGGTGTGAGCAGAGCCTGGCCTGGGAATCTGAACTGGCCAGGTTGCTATGGGGCGGCCTTGGGCAGGTCTTTGGGTGCACAGGCCGCCCTGTGAGGGGCCTCGCGGGGAGCACTCCGTGGTGGGCTGCAGGCCCACCTGACACTCGGGACTCTTGGCGTAGGACAGGGTCTCCCCGCTGAGCCAGAAGTAGCGCTTCTTGAAGGCGAAGCGTGTGGCCAGGCCGCCGGGCTCCTCCTTGCGCTTCAGCAGGTAGCCTTCCCGGACGGTCACGGAGGGCGGGACCAGGGCCCTGGCTGGGCCCTCAGCCTCTGGGAAGAGGGGAGGGGGCCGGTGAGCCTTCCCATCCAGGCTCCGCGCGGCCAGGGCCTCGGGGATGAGCATGATTCTCGGTTCCCGCAGAGGCAGGTGTTCGCTCCCTCCACACAGGACCCGGTGTCACTGATGGCTGGGCCTTGGCTCCTCTCTACCTGTGGGACCTGCCGGCAGGGTCGCAGGCAGCCAGCAGGGGGAGCCATGCTGTACGGAGTCAGTGCAGGGAGAGTCTGAGATCCCGCCACTCCCGGAGTCCAGCCCAGGCTCCTCCCCAGCACCACAGGGACTGGCCACACCCGGGCTCCACATTTCAACAGGTTGCTCCTACTATGAGGCTTAGACCCAACTCTCGCGTGACCTGGGCTCCACACTGTGACATGGACTCAACCCCAACGCTGCTTAAAACTGCCCTGCGGCTCCATGTCACTCCAAGTCAAAGCCAAAGTCCTTCCCGCTGCCTACAAAGCCCCCACAACCTGGCCTCTCACCCCTCCTTCCCTCCCCTCGCCCCCACCCCGCCCCATTCACTCTCCTCCACTGGCCTCCTCATTGCTACTCTCCGCCCCCACCTCAGGGCCTTTGCACATGCTCTTCCCCAGGGCCCTCGTGGCTTGCTCTCCGTCCTCTTTCAGGGTTTCGCTTTTGCTCTAGCGAGACTCCTTCTGGCCACCCCCCCCCCCAATATTCCCTCCCCTCCTTTACGGTCCCTCCTTGGCCCTTGTCGCTGCCTAACACACCACGATGTGCCGAGTCATCTTATTTACAGCCCGTTGTCTCCACTGGAATAAAACTCCCACGGAAGCCGGACTTTCTTGCTCACTGCTGTTTCCCCAGCTTGTGGAACAGTGGCCTATCACATAGTAGGCACTTCATAGGTATTTGTCGATGGCGTGAACACTACGCCAACAACCCCCACCTACATCTCCACGTCGGCTGGAATGGCACAGTGGGCGCAGAGGAAATGTTAGTGGACGGACTAGCTGATGCTCAGGTCCCACAGGCTCCGGGCTGGGGTGGGAGAGGGATAGAGGGAGGGGAGGACCCAAGGGTCTAGGGGAGTGAGTGACAAGCCAGACGTGGCAGGGCCACCGGAACTCACCCTCCTCCCCATCCACGTCCACCAGCTGGTCCAGGAAGTCCCTCACGCGTAAGATGCTCTGCAGCAGGAAGGGGTGCAGGGGGGCCATCCACAGCTCCTTGCCCTGGCCCAGCTGCTGGCCCAGGTTTCCGATGCTCTGCACAGCCTGGAGCAAAGAAGCCGGGGGTCCCAGGGCCAAGGTCGCTGCAGGGGCAGAGTCCTCTCTGGACCCAGAACAGAGCCCCCGAGTCCTGGCTCCCACGTCAGTATTCAAAGAAGAGAGCTCACAGCAGCACCTGCTCTGGGCAATATCTGTCCCTCCGTGTGGGCAGACATGCACCCCCAGGGCCCTGATTATTCTGTTCCCTCCTGAGCTCACACCCGGGGCTGCCTGGTCCTATCATGCATATCTGGAGCCCATCAGAACCTCAAAATGTGGCCACTTGGCCAGGGAAGGCCTAATTCATACTAAGGTGTAAAGGACTACTAGCCGGCTTCCCACTCTCCTCCTGGAAGCCTAGGTCTTTGTTTCCAAAGAGGAAATCAGAGAGTGTAATGGATTGCCTCCCCCCCCCCCCCATGAGAGCTAATGGTGGCGTGTCAGACGGGTATTTGGGTCACATTGGGTCTCCTGCAGGCCTGGCCTCCCCGCTCTGTCCCCGCCATGCTTCCCCTCACTCAGCACCCCCAGGACGGCCTCCTGTGCCCGCACCTTGGCAAGCAGCAGCAGTGAGCGGCCAGTCTGGGGGTCCGCGTGCTGGTCCCGGAGGTCAAACAGCTTCGGGGTGAGGATGGCAGGTGCAAAGAATCGCAGGAAGAGAAAGCCGCTTATGGCCAGGTACTTGACGTCCTGCCGAGAAACAAAGCAGGTGAGAGCCCAGCACCCCCACCCCAAACCCCTCCCCTCCCCTGTGGAAACCCGGGACGTGAAGCGGGAGCTGGGTCAGAAGGCCATCCTGGTCCGCCCAGGAGGCTTCTCCTTTGGGGCCTCGGTGTGTTCCCTCTGGAGAATGACGCAATAATACCAATTCTGCACGAGCAGACGCAGCCAACCATCCCGAGTCCGCTGAGGTCGCTGTCCCATGAAGGGAGCGTCGTCATTATTCCCATTTTACAGCCGAGGAAGCAGAAGCTCAGAGAGGCCAACTGGCTTGCCCAGGGTCACACAGCTGATGAGCAAAGGAGGCAGGACCCAATCCCAGATCTATGATTTATGACGGTGAACAGCAACAGGCCAGACCCTTCTCCATCCATGTGTTTGTCTACCACGCACCCAGCTGGCGTTTCACCCCCGTGTTACGGAGGAGGCCACGGAAGCCCAGAGAGGGACAGCTGCTTGCCCGAGGCCTCACAGCAGGAAGTGGCAGAACCACGCCTGGGCCCAGGCGGGATCTGAACTCCCATCTCTCCACCACACTCTCTTCTTGTATTCCACACTAGCTACTGCGGGGCGCTCCCTTAGTCAGTTAACTATCGCATGTAATCCTCAAACATCCCACAGGGTGGGAACCGTTCTCTCCTTTTTCTTTCTTTCTTTTTTTTTTTTTTAAATATGTTTTATTGATTTTTTACAGAGAGGAAAGGAGAGGGATAGAGAGTTAGAAACATCGATGAGAGAGAATCATTGATCAGCTGCCTCTTGCATACCCCCTACTGGGGTTGTGCCCGCAACCAAGGTACATGCCCTTGACTGGAATCGAACCTGGGACCTTTCAGTCTGCAGGCCGAGGCTCTATCCACTGAGCAAAACCGGTTTCGGCTCTCCTTTTTCTAGAGGAGGAAACTGAGGCTATCTTGTGGGCAACCACAGCCCAGCCTCTGCCCTGTACAAACTGTAAAGCCTGGCCTGTCCATGCAAACCCCGGGCCTGCCCCCCAGCCCCCTGCCCCCCCCCCAGGTGAGGCTGGTTCCCCCAGCACAGCAGAGGGTGTGTCTCCATCCTGGGTGCGTCTGGCTCCCCCCAAGCCACTCCCCACTCGCCTCTCCTCCTTGGCCCGAGAGGGTTCCGGAGCGTATTTAGGGGCCGTGTTCACACAGGCGACAAGGCCCTCTCTGGTGGGTCCAACTCCCTGGCCACAGGGAGCCCTGCCAGGGGCTGGGGACCTGGAGCTGCCCCTCCCTCCCTCCTCTGGAACCCTGCACTGCCCCCGAGGGTAATTTTAGCCTTCAGCATCAGCACGTGACTTCCTCCTTTTTGAGAAGGAGGAACAGGTGTCAGGGAGGCAGAGCGAGGGGCTCCCCTGACCCCATCCAGACCTGCGGGCCTGAAAAAGTCCCCTGCTCCCCGCCCACCACGGCCTTTCCCACTGTGAGGTGAGAACTGGGGACGCTGGGGTGTCACTGATCTTGGCTCCACCCACCCTCAAGGGCCAGACTTTCTGGGGAGCCCGCCTCCCTGCTTCCCTCCCTTCCTCCCTCCCGCCTCCCTGCCTGTGTCCCACTGAGCACCTCTGCCAAGAGCCGGGCCAAGCAGGGCGGAAAGCAAGCAGCGTCCCAGTCTGGAGGCCACTCCTCAGCTGGGACAGAGCGAGAGGACGGAGGTGCCCCAGCCCAGCCGGGAGGCTGGAGGCAGAGGCCCTTTCCCCCTCTGGGCCTCAATTTCCCCACCCGTAAACAGGAAGTGGGGAGCAACGTGGCGTGGCACAAGTCAAGAGCTCTGAGCCCGGGCTCCAGGGATGGGCCGCAGAGCGCTTTAGCGCGGCAGCCGGTTTCTGCCCGCCTGCCTCTGCCCCTGCCCTGCCTCTCCACGTGACCCTGCACACGCTGCTGCCCGCCCAGCCTCAGCCTCCCCGCCTGCCCAACGGGAGCACCCGCCCGCCCGCCCGGCCCACCTTGTGCTCGTCCCGCGGGAAGCGCTCCTCCACGCGTCGGTACAGCTGCTTGAAGGCGAGGCGCATGGCGGGCGGGCAGCGCCCCACGGAGCCCACGATGGCGTCCACGATGGGCCCCAGGTAGCCCATCAGCAGCCCCAGGCTGGCCTCCCGCACATGCTCCTCCGAGGCCGAACCCTTGAAGGAGAGCCTCCTGGGGGGCAAACGGGGGGATGGCCTCAGAGCCCAGCCGCTGGCCACCCTCCACCGGCCCCCGCTGGGCTCAGACAGCGCTCCCCTTCCCACCCTCCCCTCTCCGCAGCCTCCCCTCCTCCCATTCCCACAGCTCCGTGCTGCTGCTTACACATTCTTGTCTGGAGCCTTTGTGCATGCTGTTCCCTCTGCCTGGGACACCCTTGTCCCCACAATCCGCTTAGAGGTCACCTCCTCCAGGAGGCCACCCCCTTCCTCCCCCATCGCACACCCTCCCAGACCCTGAAAATGCATCTCAGCCTGGACACGCCAGGCGCCTGCTGCCACCCCAGGGCCTTTGCACTTGCGGTGCCCCTGCCTGCACGTGACTTTCTCCCTCCCCTCCTTCACGTGTTTGCTTCAATGCCCCCTTCTCTGGGGGGCTGTCCTGGCAGCCACCCCGACAGAACCCCGCAAGCCCCTCCCCTGCTCCCGGCACTTCCCTCCACCCTCCTCCCCGGCTTCCTTTTCCTCCACACTGATCATCGGCAGGAAGCTTCTTCTTCAGTTTGTGATCTGTCTCCCCCCCTGAAGAGGGGTCTGGGTCCATGTGTCCTCTGCTGTGAGCTGTGTTCAGACCAGGCCCGCACACAGTAGGTGCTCAGCGATGGTTTTGTGGAGCGGACGAGGGAGCAGCAGTTTTCCATCTGCAGTGACGTTGCTCCTTCCTTTCCTATTCCCCTCCAGGGGAAGGGTCTGTGTCATCCCTTCTCAGACTGTGGCCTCCGCAGAAGCCAGGCGGAGGGTTCCCTGCCCCTCCCCCCCCCCCCCCTGCGTCCTGGCCCTAGGGAGCGAATGCCTCAGACACGGTAGCATCTAATCCTCATGGCAACCGGATGGACGAAGCAGCCCATTTAACAGATGAGGAAACTGAGGCTCAGAGAGGTCTCCTTGCAAACTGGGCAGAGTCGAGATTAGAACTCAGGACTGCCCCTTCAGGCTTGGCTACTACCAGGTGCTGGATGCCCCTGCTGCATCCTCACCAGGTATGCCTGGAAACGTCTCTGCCTTGGGGTTTCATGGACCGACCCTGCCCTTGTGCTCAGGGCCTGGGTTCGAATCCCTGCTGTGCAACTTCCTTCCCACGGTGCAGCCCCGGGCAGGCGGCCTCCCCTCTGCGGGCAGCACTTGCTGGGCAGGGCCCAGAATAAAGGGTAAGGCTCTCTCCCGTCCTCACCATCGTCCCCGATGGGCTGCACAGCCACCAGCCTCACGGCCCGGCGGGAGCACACCGCCCATCCTGGCAGGAGCAGGGAAGGGTCCCGGAGAGAGAAGAGGAGCCCACGGAGGCGTGGACTGACCCAGCCACTGCCCAGCATCCTCCAATCGCACCCAGTGCTCCGGGCCCGCCCTGCACGCAGGCCACGCAGGGCCCCGCCTCTGCACGCAGGCCACGCAGGGCCCCGCCTCTGCACGCAGGGCCGGCAAGGCTAGAAATCAGAGCCCCGTGTGCTCGGGGAGCAGCAGTGACCGCGGGGCTGTGTGTGCATAACTCAGCTCATCCTCACAGCCACGCAAGGCGGGGGGGCTTGCACGCCGGTGGTGGCAGAGCGGGGGTTTGAACCCAGGGAACTCAGATTTCCAGTCCTGCCCGGAGCCACTACACCAGGCGGCGTGAGGACGGAGGTGCCACAGGGGAGACTTTGAGGTGGGAGGCAGAGCTGGGAATGGGGGATGCGGTGAGGGGGGCAAGGGAGGCGGGGAGGGGTTAGTAAGGAGCACAGGCCCGGCCTGACAAGGCTCGGGGACAAGGGGGCTGTCGGGGGCCAGGGTCCCCCCACCCCCCTGCCCTCAGCTCTGCTCACTTGGTGCGGCCCAGGTCCATCTTGCTCGGGTCCAGCTCGATGTACTTCTTCTCCTCGAAGACGCGGCTGATCACCGGCTTCAGCACCTCATGCAGGTAGGGCATGCCCACGAGCTGGGGGCGGGGGGCACCACACGGGGTGGGGCTGAGGGTGAGGCTGGGGCAGGCCCCTGAGCTGGGGATAGGGGCCACCATGCAGGGAGAGGCTCAGAGCAAGGCCAAGGCATGCCCAAGGGCTGGGTGGGGGCATGACCGGGCTGCCACTCGGGGTGAGAGGCCAGGCACCTGCCGCCAGCTCCCCAGCTCAGCTGCCCACTGCCCCCTGCAGCCAGCCAAGTTCGGGGTAAACCCTGGAGGGAGGGGTGCCCCTGGGGAAGCTGCTGGGCCCCGCGGGCCTCCGTCCACTCACCTTCATGAACTGCTCCATGGACTTGGACGCCAGGGAGTTGGAGCGGAAGAGGGTGTTGGGGTCAGCTGGGAGGGCAGAAGGAGGTGTTTTCTGGGATGGGGGGGAGGAATGATCCGCCTCACCGCCCCCCCACCAACCCACCCAAGGCGGAGGTCAGGGTGCTTCCAGCCTCGGATTGAGGAGACCCACAACACCAGCTCCGTCCACAGCACGGAGTTCACAGCCCAGGGTGGTTAAGCAATCTGCCTGCGGCCACACAGCTCAAGAGTAACGAAACCACACATGTGCGTGCACGTGCACACACACAAACACACACGCACGCGCGCACACACACTCACATGCACACACAGGAGCCCTGTCCTCTGCTGGAGCACCCCTCTCCGTCCCCCAGAGACCCTCAGACTCATCCCTGGGGGAGTGCTGTCCGGGGATCTGTGGGCCACTCACTGGTCCGCGCCAACTCCCGCCGGGTGAGATAGTCCAGAAAGGGCCCGGCCAGGCCCTGGCCGAGAAAGAGCTTCGCCAGCTTGGTGGCCAGGTCCTGGCGGCAGTCCCCCGAGGTCAGCTCCTCCAGCACCGCCAGGGGGCTGGACACGTCCTCCTGGAGGGACAGGCGGCAGGCGAGCTGGCCGGGGCCCCGCACTCCGGAGCAGCTCAGGCAGGTTTCCCTGAGGCAGGGCTGCCAGGGTCCAGGTCCTCCCCCAGATCCTCCCCCAGGTCCTCCCCAGCCCCTCCCCCAGGTCTTCCCCCAGATCCTCCCCCAGATCCTCCCCAGGTCCTCCACCAGCCCCTCCCCCAGATATTCCCCAGCCCCTCCCCCAGGTCCTCCCCCAGGTCCTCCCCCAGTCCATCCCCCAGGTCCTCCCTAAGCCACTCCTCCAGGTCCTCCCCAGACCCTCCCCTAGATCCTCCCCAGCCCCTCTCCCAGGTCCTCCCCATCCCCTCCCCCAAGTCCTCCCTGGTCCTCTCCCAGATCCTCCCCCAGGTCTCCCCCCAGATCCTCCCCCAGATCCTCCCCAGGACCTCCCTCAGTCCCTCCCCCAGGTCATCCTCCAGATCCTCCCCCAGATCCTCCCCCAGGTCCTCCTCCAGATCCTCCCCCAGGTCCTCCCCCAGCCCCTCCCCAGTCCCCCAGTGCGTGCTGGTCTGACCGCCCACCTCTGCCGGCTGCAGCACGGACTCCATGAGCAGCTCCAGGAGTGGCCGGTAGCACCGGGAGGGCAGCACCCGGTCCTCCAGGAGGCGCACCTTCAGCCGCAGAGCACCCAGGCTCCCCCTGGCCGGTCAGAGCACACGTATGTACGGAGGGAAGCACGGATGGGCCGGCGCAGTGATGGGCAGGTGGGAACACAGGTAAGGAGCATGGGTGTTTGCAAAGCAAGGTGCATGTGGGTAGCTGTGAAGAGGCGTGGCCATGTCTGAAGGGGTGTGACAATGCCGACAGGGTCTCAACGGGCCCGGACAAGCACAGACGGTGTGAACAGTGTGGCTAGTGTAAACACGTTCACACAGGAATGGACAGTGTGAACAGTGAGCAGGCGTGGAAGAACCCAGGGTTCACATCACGTATCCACAGGTGTGAACTGACATGTTCGCAGGTGGGTGAAAGGTGAGCGCGTTTGGGCACGTGTAAACACAGCTGGGAGGCATCCGCAGGCCATGTGTCGAATGAATGAACAGCGCGCGGTGGTGATGGTTTGTTGGCTGACGGGGGCGCCCATGAGGACCCGCCATGCGCTGAAGGTGGTACCCAGAGTGGTTCCGATGCTTACCCAGAATCCTCCTCCGCTCTGGGAAAGGGCAGGAGACGGAACCAGCCGTTGGGGGGGTTCTGCTGCAGGACCTTGGGGGGGAACTCCACCTGTGCGGGGACACAGAGCTTCGGGGAGCCCCGCCCAGCCCCGCCCCCGGAGAAGCACTTGGACTGCCCGCCCACGGTGGGGTGGCATAGCCTGCCAGGGGCCACATCTTCCTCCCCCTCTGTATCCCATCATCACAACAGCAGTGACACTCCCTCCCTGAGTTCTAAATGAGGGGCCCTGCCAGGCACTGAGGCCTCCAGGGACGTTTATTTGAGGGAACTGGGGCTCAGAGAGGTGGAGTGACTTGCCCAAGGTCACATAGCGGCTGGAGACCGCATGTCAGATTGGGTGTGTTTTCAGCTCTGTTCGGGGACACCATTGCGTCTATCACAAAGCTTAAATGCCCCCGAGTCCCACCCCCTCTTTTAAATAACTTTATAGAGATATAATTGTGCCCCAAAGAATTCACCTATTTCAGTGTATCACTCAGTGGCCTTTCGTAAAGTCAGACTTGTGCTAACATCACTACGAACTTCAGAACATTTCCTATGAGCCCCCCAAAAACCCTGTACCCATTAGCAGTCACTCCCCAGCCCCTGACAGCCACTGGTCTATTTTGTCTTAAATATTTCCTATCAGTGAAATCACATCACGTGTGGGGTTTTTTGAGACTGGCTTTTTTCACTTAGCGTGTTTTGAAGATTCACCCATGTTGTAGCATCTGTCCATACTTTGTTCCTTTTTTAAAACATTTTTTAAATTGATTTCAGAAAAGAGGGGAGAGGGATTGAGAGAGAGAACTATCATTGATGAGCCGAGACCGGTTTGGTTCAATGGATAGAGCGTCGGCTTGGGGACTGAAGGGTCCCGGGTTCGATACCTTGGTTGCAGGCATATCCCCAGTAGGGGGTGTGCAAGAGGCAGCTGATCGATGACTCTCTCTCATCGATGTTTCTAACTCTATCTCTCTCCCTTTCTGTACAAAATCAATAAAATATATGTTAAAAAAAAAAAAACTATCATTGATGAGAATCATCGATGGGATGCCTCCTGCACGCCCCCTACTGGGGATGGTGCTCTGACCAGGAATTGAACCATGACCTCCTGCTTCATAAGTCAAAGCTGAACCACTGGGCCACACCAGCCGGGCGGTACTTTGGTCCTTTATGTGACTGAATGCTATTCTATTGTAGGCACCTTTGTTTATGCATTCGGCTGCTGATAGATAGTTGGGTTGCTTCCACTTTGGCTGTGATGAACAATGCTGCTGTGAACATTCAGGTACAAGCTTTTGTGTGGACATGTGTGTATTTGCATTTCTTGGGGACAGACCTAGGAGTGGAATAGTTGGGTCACATGGTAACTCATTCTAGGCACTGCCAGCATTGCATGACCAAGCCTCCCTCTTATCTGCTCTAATCTTGGCTCCTTTTAAAAACGAGCGGCCCTGCTACACCTGCACTGCTATCCAGAGGAAGGAACAAGCCACCCATTGTACAGATGGGAAAACTGAGGTTCCTAGAGAAAAACCTTGACCAACCCCAGTGCTTCCAGGAAGAAGAGGTAAAGACTTAGATTCTGAAGTAAGAGAGGCCTGCACTCAGACCCCAGCTCTGCTGTTTCTTAGTCATGTGACCGAGGGAAAGCCATCAGCCTCCCTCGGTTTCCCCACCCCGGCCTTGTAGGGTGGCCTTGAGGGTCCGTGAGGTTATGCTGGAGAAGCACTCAGCACGGGGCCAGCGCATGGCCATGCCAGGTGCCCTCATTGTAGGACTAGGATATGGGCGCACCCGTGACCTTGGCAGCTTCCTGCACCTTTGAGAGCCTCAGTCTCCCCAAATGTACAAGGGGCAATAGGACTCCATTTCCCTGGACCTGGGGAGGCAGCCTTCACGTCTACCCTCTGAGCCCCAGGGTACCAGCCCACCTGCCCTTCCTTCCCCCTGGGAGGCAGGGGGAGCCCTGGAGGAGGGTGCTGGAGGGGGCGGGGCGCTCACCATGCCCAGGAAGTCGTTCTTGCCCACCATGTCCCAGTCCCAGAGCTCCACCCGCAGTGGGGAGGGGCCGCCCGGCATCTCCCGCAGCTCCAGCACCTCGTCCCAGTGCGGGAAGCGCGTCTTCTTGATGGTCTGGGGGAGGCGGAGAAGGGGGGTGAAGAGAGCGCTGAGTGGGACCCCACCCTCTGACGCCCCCCCTCTCCCAACCCCCCTCTGCCACTCACCGAAGTCTCCAGGCTCTGGCTGCCCCAAAACACGCGTGCGAAGGGGTCTGATGTGCCGGAGATGTCTCGGGGGGCCAGGTCCCTGGGGGCAGAGGAAGATAGGAGTGGGGGCCGCAGGACCCTCAAGGACCAAAGCCCACACTGGACCTTGGAAAACAGAGTCAGGGCAGACCATTCGGGTGCCGCTGGTTTCCGAGGTGATAAACTGCTCCAGGGTAGGGACCCGGCGGGGAGCACCCCTCACCATGCCCATCCTATAACGCTGCCCTATGGGGAGGCACTAGGAATGCCCCTATTTTCCAGATGAGCAAACTGAGGCACAGAGAGCACAGGTCCTTCCTCACGGAGCCCAGCAGACAAAGGTGTCATGGGGCGGGGGGAAAGGAGCCGCTGGATGGGAGACCAGAGGCCAGGACCCAAAGCTTTGTTGTCTGGGCAACACAGGAATGAATAGCCACTCCCCCTCCCTCAGCTTCAGTTTCCTCATCTGGAAAAGACGAATAACAACAGACCGACCGCCGGGGACCAAGAGTATATAAAATGAGATGACACGGGCTCAGCCTAGCAGCTGGCAGCTGGTGAGGGCTCAGATCAGTCACTCATTCAACAAACACCGTGCGCACATCATCCTGGGACCCAAGAAAAGGATGAGACAGAGACTCCTGCCTCTGGTTGTCATGACAACCCAAAAGTCTCATCCCAATGAGCCTCCCCCACTCCTCCTTCCTGAGGTCCCCCAAACCTAGAGACACCACCCCCCAACCAGAGGAGCTTCCTCCTGCTGCTCAGCATCCAAAGCCGCCTTTGGTTTCCTAGGAGCCAGCCCAGTTGCTAAGCAACAGCAATCGGTCCTTTTCCTGTTGCAAGAATCCTGCACAGCCTTGTGGCTGGGGAGGAGGCCCTGGGCAAACAGCAGATAAGGAGCCCCTGTCCCATGCTGAGTCCTGCCTCCTGTCCCCTGCCTCTCCTCTCCCTATTCCCCACCCCACCCTCCGCCCCCAGTACTCCATCCAGACTCCAGGGATCCCCAGCAGGGGACAGAACTCTGGAGGTGGCGGGAGAGACACAGAGAGGGCAAGAAAGGGCTTAAAGTCACACAGCAAACTAGAAATTGAGATGCTCCCCAACCTTGACAAGAACCAGCCTAAAAGGAAAGGTTGGGGAAGTAAGGTATGGGAGGGGGAAAAGGCAGAAAGATAAGATGGGAGATAAGAGGGGAATGGGGGTGGGGTAGTTAAGGAAGCAGAATAATGGGGGGGGCTCAGAGAGGGGCGGATTACAGAGTGATACAGGCAGGAGTGAGGGCTACCCCATGAGCTGGAACCGGCTGTGACTCAGGTCCGACAGATCAGTCCGTGTAACTGACTCAGAGACAGGCATGTGCCCCAGACGGAGCCGGTAAGAAATGCTCCCAAAACACTGGCTGGAAATGGTGAGCGATGGAAGTTCCTTTTCAGCTGGGGCTGCCAGGCTGTTAGGATGGGGTTGCCCCCGCCCGGGGAAGGACTTGGAATGAAGCTAACACACAAGACAGCTCAGGAATCTGTGTGCACGCAGAGTCCCGATGTCTCCCTTCGAGCACCTGGATCCAGCCATGCCTGAAGCCACATGTCATTCATATGAAATAGTCTGCTTACGTCCATGTGAACTGGGTGTCTACTGCTTACAGTCTGACGAACACACCTCCTCCCTCATGTCTGGCCTTTAGTGGCTGGTCCCCGCTCATTCTCAGATCGCCGCCAATACCCCACACCAGTGGTCGGCAAACTGCGGCTCATGAGCCCCAGGCGGCTCTTTGGCCCCTTGAGTTTTTAGCAAAGGCCAGCTTAGGAATACCCTAATCCTATCTAATAAAAGAGTAATATGCAGATTGACCATCACTCCAACACGCAATATGGCTGCCCCCGTGTGGTCAAAGATCCTGCCCCCATGTGGACACAAGATGGCCACCACAAGATGGCCAACAGGGGAGGGCAGTTGGGAGGCACCAGGCCAGCAGAGGAGGGAAGTTGGGGGCAAACAGGCTGGCAGGGGAGCAGTTAGACATCAATCAGGCTGGCATGGGAGTGGTTAGGGGGTGATCAGGCTGGCAGGCAGAAGCGGTTAGGGGCAATCAGGAAGGCAGATAGATGAGCAGTTGGGAGGCAGCAATCCTGAATTGTGAGAGGGATGTCCGACTGCCCTCAAGGGGTCCCAGATTGGAGAGGGTGCTGCCAGCTGGGCTGAGGGACACACACACACCCCTGCCCCCATGCACAAATTTCGTGCACTGGGCCTCTAGTTAATAACAATGTACCTACCTATATAGTTTAAGTTAAAAAAATTTGGCTCTCAAAAAAATTTTTCAATCATTGCACAGTTGACATTTGGCTCTGTTGACTAATGAGTTTGCCGACCACCCCGACCCTACCTGGCCTTGAGCACATGGCAGCGAAGACAGCGCCCCCGCATGTCTTCCAGCATCTGCACAGCCAGGTAGATCTCGCCCTGCACCTCAGCATCCGGGTCCACGGGGCTCAGGTTAATCCAGCTGTCGATTCCTGGAGGGCACAGGCGTTAGCATTTGTTAGGCGCCTACCATGTGCTCGGCGTTGTGCGCGCGATGGTCTTTGATTGTGAATTCGTGTTTGTTTGATCCCGTTCCGTGGGACACGGAGCGTGAGGATGCTTATCCCTGGAGAGGAGCGGTGCTTCTCACTCCGGGTCTCTTTCAGGGTCTCGCTCTAACGGGGAAGTCTTGGGGTCAGCACCGCCTGCCTTCGCCCTGGCTCAGAATTTAACCTGTGGACTGCAGATGCGATCCTGACATTGACTTTCGGGGAGCTTCTTCCTTATTCCCTCGCTGTGGCTCCCCGCTCCCCGTTACGTTTTGCTGACGATCGGGGGGCGGGGGGGGGGGGGCTGGGAGGAGAATGCTGGGCTGTTTTCCTTCTTTACAGCAAGTCCAACAATGTATTAGGAACCGTATATATGTAATTCGGGAGCCCACTGGCACTAACAGGAGGGCCCTTCCGAAGGGGCAGTGCCCGGGCTGCCGGAAATGAAAGTTCCACTTCGCCTCTGTCTCCACTCCAACCCCCAAGTGCGGGACGCGTCAGCTTCCTCTCGCTTGCTCATGGCACCGACTCCAAATGGCTCGCTCAGCCCTCCTCCCGTCCCGCTGTGCTCCAGCATCCACAGAGCAGCACCTTCTGGAAATGTCTCTCATCTCTCTTGTCAGTCTGCCCTCCTCCGACACGGCTCCACTCTCTCTCCGCTGTCTTGCTCAGGGACTATCCATGGCTCCCCAGTACCCTCCCAGAAAAGGCCCAGGCACCGAGGCCATCTCCAATCAACCCCCACACCCTACTCCGCCTGGCCCCGCCCACAGCTGGCCCTAGAGGAGAACCCACGGAGAGGGGCCTTCGCCTCTTTGCTAAAGCACCTCGAAGGCCCAGCTCCTGCCCCTTCCTCCAGGAAGCCTTCCTTGACCACCTGCGCACTCCTCCCCGGCACCGTCATACCAGTAATGTTCCACATCCCGCCGCCCCCACATTCCTCTCTCGTTTAAAGACAGAAACTGAAATTGTTTCCCACAAAGGGCCCTGTGCTCCTCGTGACACTTGCTCTGCCCTTGCAGCGCCCACTCTGAGCACAGCCAACCCTCCTCCCTCTGCCGGCTGAGGGCTGGAGCCCCTCACCCACCTCGGGGGTCCGCGGCGATGGCCTCCCTGCTCAGTGAGATCTTGCCGATGATGTCGTCGTGCCTGTGGAGAGGGGGCAGGGAGGGTCCCGGTCAGGAAAGGGACGGACATCCAGGGTGGGCAGGAAGGCGGGGACTTTGCTCTGGGGTGTCTGCCTCCCCTCGGACGCCCAGGCTCGGGCCCCGGCACACATACCCCACCGTGTCCTCGTCCAGCACGTAGAAGGCCAGGTGGTGGAAGTCCAGGGGCAGGTGCACCGTGTACTCCTCCCCCCAGAAGGGGCTCAGGCTCCGCCAGACGGTTGCTGTCCTGCAAAAGGGGGGGGGGGGCGGGCACAGGGGGCTGCAGGGACTTGGGCCTCACAAGCTGCAGACACCTGGGCACCCAGGTCACATGGGTGGCGCACACACACACACTCACACTGGAGTACACTGAAACAGACACTCATAGACACCACAAGGAAGCCAGAGACACACACTCATATGAAGCCTCAGAAACTTCTAGAAATCTATGCGTTTCTACATACTGACACATGTAGACATGCACAAACAGACATAGTCACACAAACCCACAGACACACTCACGTACGTACACAGCAGATACACATATAGAATCACACAAACATAGTAACCAACACCACCATGATTCCATCTATCCACCCACCCACCCATCCACCCATCCACCCATCCATCCATCCATCCATCCATCCATTCACGGGGTGCCAAGGCTTATGGGTTCTGGGGAATCAGAGGAAGAGACACCAAGGCCCATGCTCCCTCCGAGCCCCCTGAGCCGCCAGGCGCTCTCCTGAGCTCTGTGGCACAGTGCGAGTCCTGTGCTGTGGTTAGTGCCTGGTTGGGTGTGGGAATGGGGGCTGGAGGGGTCCAGAAAGGCTTCCTGCAAGAGCTAGTCAGGCAAAGTGGGAAGAGAGGATGAGGACAAGCATCCCCAAGGGCTGGGACAGCACGTGCAAAGGCCCTGAGGCAGGGGTGAGCGTGGTCCTTTTGAGGAACAGGGCGGTGCTGGTTGGAAAGGGAGGAGGAGTGTGAGGGGCCAGAAGACTGAGTCAGCAGGAGCCAGAGCACTCAGTAAGCAAGGGGGAACCACAGCAGGGTTAGGGACCAAGACAGGCTCAGGCACAGGCACACACATGGAGCGTCTTCACCCTGACACCCCTGCAGACCCACTTCCCTTTACCCAACAGAGAACAAAGAGCCTCCGTGCTCAGTGAGACACACCCACGTGTATGGCTGCGAAACCTGGCTCGTACACCTACCGCTCCCATGCTTCCTTCTGCACACTCTTCCCCCACACACAGACACACACACACACGCACCACGCTCTGCCCCCTAGCCCAGGCACCTCCATCCAATGGACACTTCTCCCTAGCCCTGCCTTTCCCTGCTGGAAGCCCCTCCCCAGCCCCTGAGGTGGGATGCTCCTCCAAGCCCAGAGAGGGGGGGACAGCAGCCTGCTGTGACCCGAAGCATCAGCCTGTGGGCTTGTGGGGAAGGGGGCAGCGTGAGCACAAAGAGAATGAGGGAGGGGGTCAGCTGGCTGGGGTAGGCTGACCTTCCCCCATATGAGCTCCCTGCCCCCAGCTCCCAGTCCATCTGGACCGGAACCACGCCAGCAGCATCCTGAATCCCACTGTCTCCATAGGAACCAAGGCCTCAGCCATCCACCCACCCACACCCCTCAGGCCTGCGGGGGCTGAGAGCTGTCCCTTGGCCGGCCTGCGGGGGTGGGGACCAAGCAAGACCCAGCCCCATGTCCCCCCCCTCTCCCCACCCACACCCAGACTCGCTCACACATCCAACACCCTCACACCCTCGCGTGTGTTCACATGGTGCCTATGGACCCAATTAAGCAGGCAGCGGTGCACACGTGTGCGCAGGGCAGGCTGTGGGCGGGCCACACATGCACACGGACCACACACAGGGACACGGACATCATGGACACACAGGCAGGCCCGCTGGGCGCAGGCGCACACACACACCCTGGTGCCCGCAGCACCCAGCAGGCAGGCCCGGAACCAGCCAGCCCAGCCAAGCGTGAGATGCCCGCCCCCGGGGGAGGCCACCACGGGAGGCACGGGCTGGCGGCCGCTGAGTCAGCCCCAGGAGCCAGCAGGGACATGGTCAAGTCCAGGGGAAGGTGCGGGCCCGCTGGGGCTGGGTGGGGAGGGGAGCTGGCCTGAGCGTCACCCTCCCCAGTCGGTGTCCCTTTTCCTGGCGGGTTCTTGTGTCTGGACTCCCCAGGGCTAGAAGGAGCCCCTCCCCGGCCCCTGCCCTGCTCGCCTCGCCCTCCCACCGGCCTCCACGCCTCACCTGGCCACCACCTCGTCATCCACCTTCACGATGCAGTAGGGGTCACTGCTCCCAGACCTGCGGGAGGAGGAGGGGGAGAGGGCAGTCATGGGCGGGGACCCCAACCCACCTTCCTGTCACAGGAGGGTGCCATGGAGGCCCAGAGAGGGGAGGGGGCCTGTCCAGGGAGGGTCACGCGGCAAGTCCAGCTCCGAGGCCGGGGACCAGCAGGATGTCCTGGCTGCTCAGCCTGCCCATGGCGACCCGCAGAAATAGAACACGGAGGCCCCGAGCGAGGAAGTGCAGAGGCCCTGTCCCAGGAAGGCCGAAGCCAGCGCGTGCGGGGGCGTCACACCTGCTTCCCCACCTGCCGGCTGGGGGGCCTGGCCGGCACCCCCCCTCCCCCCACTGTGTGGCCCTGGCTCCTCCGCCTGAATCAGGAAGAACGTTAACATGCAGAGGGGAAACTAAGGCGCCCGCGGGGCAGGCAGACCAGGCGCCCCCGGAGCCTCGGCCATGAGCTTGGCCTCGCTGGCCTTTCTGGGCAGGGCACACACGCTGCTCAGCTGCCAGCAGAGATGGAGCTCAGCAGCTCTCAGGGCAAACAGGCCGGGGCACCCCCACCTCCAGCCCCCACCAGCCCGCCTGGCCGGCAGGACCCAAGCCCAGGTCCAGAGGGCTCAACGCACGAGCTCTGGGCCAAGGCTGCCTCCAGCCCAAACGGCCCTCCCTCCAGGCCCGGCCCTCACCCTCTCTCTCTCTGCCACCTCCTCTCAGTCCGGCTGGTCCCCGATCCGCACGTGCCTCAGGGGTTCCAAGGAGCAGGGACGTGGGCACCGGGAGCTGGCTCCAACCCGAGGCTTGTCTGCCTGCTGAGCGCCCTCCCTCCCCCCGCGCCTCGGTCTCCTCTCGGGGTTCCTCCCTCGGCCCCCTTTGCTGGGCGCTCCGGTGGTTCACTGCTCCATCTGGTTCCCGCCCTGCCCCTCTCAGCCTGGCCTATGTCTCCCAGTTCCTCTCTAGGCCCTCCCCTCAGATTCCCCTTCCCTGGAGTGCCCTAGGCCTCCATTTCCCCTCCTGGCTCCCGAATGCCCGAGGCTGGGTAACCCCCTCTCTACATCTCGTTTCTCTCTCTCTGGGCTCTCTAACCCTGAGCTTCTTTCAAGCACGCTCCCGTTCCTCAGTTTCCCCGACTGCGGATGTGGGCTGGATTCTCACCAGCAAAGGGCTGGGAGACACGCCCCCTCCCGTGAACCCCGCCTGACCCCCGGGCCCTCATGGGAGCCGAGCTCACATGTCAGCTGCAGGGCGCTGACGCACGAGGGCCTTATCGGGCTCCTATCAGGTAGGGGCCAGGGAGGGAGGGGGCTGCCGCGCTGACCCGCCGTCTCTCCAGAGCCTGCCCTCTCCCACGGCCGCTGCCCCTGCCCAGCGGGAAAGCAGGCCCCTCGGCCCTGGCCTGCCCGGCCTGGGGTGTGCGTGGGAGCGGTCAGGCTCCACGTCCCGGCTGCGTGACCTCAGGCAAGCGAGGTTGCCACGCTGGGCCTCCGTTTCCCCATTTGTAAACCAGAAGTGCTGACAGGAGCATAGGAAACGCCAAGCGTGCAGGACCTGGTCCCTCGTCAGCCCTCGGTGACTTACAGCTACTGCTCTTATTATTTTTGCTGTTGTTGGTCACCCTCACCCGAGGGTGTTTAGAAAGAGTGGAAGGGAGGGAAGGAGGGGGAGAGAGAAACATTGATGTGAGAGGGACACACTGACTGATTTGCTTCCCCACAGGTGCCCGAACTGGGGCCGGCCGGGGGGGGGGGGGGTCGAACCTGCTACCCTGTGCCCTGGACCAGGAGTCAAACCCTCGACCCCTCAGGGCACAGGTCGATGCTCTAACCACTGAACCGCCGGGCCAGGGCACAGCTGCTATTGTCAATGATTGTAGTCGCTCTAAAGTCATCTGCTGAGTCTTCCTCTTACGCCCTGACATCTGGGGAGGATACAGGAAGAATCCAGCCTTTCCCTTAGGAGAGGGGTGAGAGAGCACGCCCTGGCTGAGTCCCCACGGGTGGGGAGATCCCAGCATGCTCTGAGGAGAGCGCCCATGAAGAAGAGAGCCAGCCAACAGCCAGGGAAACTGAGGCAGGGTGGCCAGATCCCCAGCTGGGGCTCAGTGACTCCCTACCCTTGCCCAAGGGCGTGGCCGTGGCCCAGGAACACGGGGAGGAGGGTGGCACGGGAGCCACACGTGACTCAGCTCCCTCCCAGGCGGGCAGATGGCGCTCCCTCGAGGCCCTCGCCAGCCTCCATCAGCCTCCAGCCTCCCTCCTGGCTTTCCTGCCCCAGCACTTCCGGGGTCTCTCTCCCCGAAGGGGGCGGGGGCTCGGGGAGGACATCTCGGAGAGAGGGAGCCGGGGCCTGTCCAGGCGCTGCATTCCCACAGCGAGGCCTCGGCCTCTGTGGGGTGCAGGCGGTGCTGGTTGGGGGTGGCTGGGGAGGATGGAGGCGCTCTAAGCAGCACCCCCCTGGACACGCCAGTGTTGGGTAGGCGGCAGGTGGTGGAAAGGAAGGCGGGGTGATCCTTGCTGGGGGCCCTTCGCTGGGGGAGGCGGGCAGAGCCAAGGCTCAGAACCCAGGTTCCAGTCAGTCCTAGCTGGCCCTCCACCCTCCCGGCTGGACGGGGCTGGGGACCCTGGCCAGGGCTCCCATTGCACAGATGGGAGAACCAGGTTCAAGGTCAAACAGCCCAAGTCCTACCAAGGATCCCAGCCCGACTCCAGGTGCTGACACCCTCAGAACCCTCTCTGGGCTCCAGGCCAAGCAGGAGGGGGACCCCTCCCACCGTCCTGCTGACCAGGCACCTGCTGGCTCAGCCCAGGGAAGCCCAGCCAGGGCCCAGTACGAGGGGGCCCACAGGCTCTCCAGACCCAGCACACCTGGTGGGGAAGGGGTAGCAGAGGGGAGGGGGTGGCTCCTCAAGCCGCTCAGCATGCAGGGAGGGCCCACACTGGCTGGGAGCTACTGGCTGGGGAGCCCGGGGCTCTGGGTCGAAAGCACCCCAGTTTCCCCCAAGGCTGGTGGGTGGGCTGGCCATCTGGTGACACTCTGCAAATCCACACCCCAGATGCACACTGAGGCATGCTGGGCCACCTGCACCCCCTACCTTTTGTTGATAGGAGCCTACCCAAGCCTGCAGGGACACCTCCCCATCCCCTTCCTCCTCCCCCTCGCTTCCCCCTCCGCCCATCCCCATCCCCCTCACCCTCCCACCATTCCTATCCCAGCCCCCTCCCCCTCCCCATCCTCATCCCCGTTCCCCAATCCCAACCCCATCCCCATCCGCGACAGAATCCGCTCCCATCTCCAGCTGACGCCCTGTAAGACCCTTCAGTACATCTCAGGATCAAAGACATCCGTCCACTCTTATGGGGTGGGGAGCCAGGGCGGGCATCTGGGCACGGGGCAGCCATGGGCATGGGACTTCTCCCGCCATGAAGGTGTATCTGCCTCCACACACGGTCTTCGTGTCTCAGACAGGAACCTGTGCCTTGTTCCCCGACCCCCCCCTTCCCCCCGGCACGCGTCATGGGCGCCCCCACCCACCTCACCCCGCGCCCCGGCCGCCCCTCGCGCCGCCGGGAGTACTCACACGTCCTTGGCGGGCAGCGCCCGGCCCTCCACCACGCGGACGTTCAGGGAGCTGATCTTGGCCATGGCGCCCAGCCCCAAACTTTCAGGGCGGGAGGGAGGGCGCCCAGGTTCCTCCGAGGCCGGACCGCGGGGCACGGGGTGGGGGTTTGCGGCGAAGAGAAGAATCTACCTGTCACCACCAGCTGCACGCCTGGCGCCCTGTCCCGGGGTCCCGGCGCCCCCGGTCCAGGACGCGGGTAGCTGCTGGGCGGGAGGCGTTCGGAGGAGGAGGGGGGAGATCGGTGTCCTCGGAGGGGGCGCCCTCCCTCCCCGCTCCCCCACGGAGGATCCACAGGTAGGATTCGCGTGCGGAGCAGGTGGGGCGCGCAGGGAGCGCCGCCGCCGGCTTTTGCCTCGGAGTCTGCAGCTCCTGGTGGGCGGGCAGGGCGGAAGGGGGCGGCCCCGGGCCCTCCCCGCAATCCCGCCTCTCCCCGGCTCCCCACCCCCCCCGCCCGCAGGCCCCCGGGCCCCGCCGCGCGTTCTCCGCTGGCGCCCCAGCCACGCGCACCGGAGCGCACCGGCCGCGCAGACCCGGGCGCACCGGGGCCCGGACCGCCAGGGGGCGTGGCCTTCGGCCGTGATGGGCGTGGCCAGAGGTTCCTGGTGAGTTGGCATCGGGCTCAGAAAACGTGGTGTGTCCCCTGCCTGGCCTCCCTCCTGCACCTTCCCGTCTCCTCGGCCCTCCCCTCCTGCCATCCCGGCGCCGCCTCCTCCCGGTCTATCCACCCCACCACCGCCGCCCCTCCCTCCTGGAGGGGTCATCAGAGAGAGTGGTGGCACGTTCCCTGGGGGGTCCGTTAGATTCCAGGGAGGGGCCTCCGTGTCCCCTGCGATCTCTTCGTTTCCAATGAACCCAGACGGTGCGAGCCGCCGCGCCCACGTCACTGGCCGGCGCTGCGGGGGAGGGCGCGCGGCCGGGGGAGGGGCGCAGCCGCTGCAGCGTGGAGGATAAAGTCGTTTACGATGTTTGAACACCTCCCTGTGCCAGGCACTGCCCTCAGCCTGGCGGGCTTAGCCCATCTTCGTCTTTACAATCGCTCTCTGGGCTGCAGAGGGTTGTCCCGTTACCCTCACTTGGTGGGCAAAGAAACGGAGGTTCAGCTGAAACCGGTTTGGCTCAGTAGATAGAGCGTTGGCCTGACAGGTCCCAGGTTCGATTCCGGTCAAGGGCATGTACCTTGGTTGCGGGCACATCCCCAGTAGGAGGTGTGCAAGAGGCAGCTGATCGATGATTCTCTCGCATCGATGTTTCTAACTATCCCTCTCTCTTCCTCTCTGTAAAAAATCAATAAAATATATTTTTATAAAAGGAAAAAAGAAAGAAACGGAGGTTCAGAGGAATGGAAGAGCTGCAGGCAGGTGTCAGTCAGCAGCTGGTTTGCCTTTCTGGATAGGAATCCTGGTCGCTCTGTGGGGTTGGGCAACCTGTTCCGAGGGGGAACACGCAGCTCGCCCGCAGGGTTTGGGGAGGATTCGGTGAGATAAAGCGGATGCAGGTCTCAGAACAGGGTTGTCGGGAGCTTGGGAAGCTTAAAAAGGTGTTTGGTATTACTATGGCGGTTCTTCCAGCCCTAGCTCCAATGTCACCTCTCCTGGGCATCCTCCAGGATTTCCTCAACAGGCAGAGATTTTTTTTTTTTTCTTCCCTTTCTCTCTGCTCCTGCAGCTCCGCGTTTGTACGTGTATTCAGGTTTTAAATCAGATAAGTGGTCGGGGAAGGGCCTGTCCCAGGGCAGGTACTTACACTTTTTCTCCCCGTGAGTTTCATTGTTTACCTGCTTAAGGGCTCTTAGCAGGGCTGGTGCCCAGCCTGAGTCACTGGGGTCAGCCCAGGGCTGGGCACCCAATGGGAAGTGCCCTGCTGAATGAATGAGTGTGGGCACACCCAGACCGGCGGGACTGGGAGGGCTGCCCAGACAGTGATCGGCCTCCCAGTCTCCCTCCTCGACTCCCACCCAGCCCCTCTCATTAGGGATTCAGGTCCCTGGAATTTTCTCCCCACTGACTGGCGAGTCCTCCAGCTTCCAAAGTCTGGGCCTCAGTTACCCCATCTGGGAAATGGGTCTAGCAGGGCTGGCCCAAGCTTCAGATGTGTTGCAACATCCTTCAGGTGGGGGGTGGGGGGTGATCCAGGGTGGGATTCAGAATAGTGGTAGCTCCAGGGGAGTAGGTAAAGCACCCCCTAATCGTGACCAGTCACCCCAGATCCTCACCAGGGGAAATCTGTACTGGCTTCAATGGGTTCAGGCCTTCCATCCCCCCAACCTACGTGGGAGCTTTCGGCTGGGCCTTCCTTTGTCTTTGGAGACCTTGCAGAGACCCAGCCCCTGGCGACCCCGATGGCACCCGGGGCCTCGTTCCTGGGCCCCCTGGGAAGCCAGCCAAGCTGCCAGCAGCCATGAGCGCCTGCCTTCCGGAGCTGAGCAGGAAGTCACGTTCCTACGCACCCCTCCCCCCCGCCCCGCCCCCCCGGGAGGGGGGGTTACAAAGGTCATGGGTCCAGCCAGGCCTCTGGGGAGTCAGCTCTGTCACCTGCCCAATATCTGGCGTCTGACCCTGCCGTTCCCCTGGGGCTGTGGCCAGAGTCCCCCGGCGTTTTGTTTCCAAATGGCCCGGCCACTTCCTGTTGTTGTGAGAAGCTTTGGCCCCAAACTGGCAGAGGGTTTCAGGTCTCCCGGAACAGCCTCCGTCAGGGCACCCAAGGGGGAGAGGTGGCCCGCGCGGGCATGGGGCCTGCTGGAGGCCGCCCAGCGAGGAGGGCGGAGGGCAGGCCCCTGAGCGCCCGGGCCCGGCTGGCACATGGGAGGGGGCTCGCCTTCCTCGGGGATGTTGGTGAGAAGGAATTAGGACGGTGGTGTAAGGCACCTGGCTTCCTTCCTGGCACACAGGAGTTAGTTGCTCAAGAAATGGTTAACATCCTCCCATTCCTCTTCTGCTCAGATCCGTAAAGACAAAAGCATGGTCCCTGCCAACGCCACTCACCATCCAGCACCAGGCAGAGCACACAGCAGGTGCTACGTAAAACCTTCCTCAAGCCCTAACCGGTGTGGCTCAGTGGATAGAGCGTCGGCCTGCTGACTGAAAGGTCCCAGGTTCAATTCTGGTCAAGAGCATGTGCCTTGGTTGCGGGCACATCCCTAGTAGGGAGTGTGCAGGAGGCAGCTGATCGATGTTTCTCTCTCATCGATGTTTCCTAACTCTCTATCCTTCTCCCTTCCTCAATAAAATATATTTTAAGAAAAGAAAAACCTTACTCAGGAGGCGAGGCTCAGCTTGGGGTCTAAGAGCAGAGGATTTAGCATCCAGCCAGCCTAGGACCGAATCCTGGCACCTACACTTGAGAGCTGGGTGTTCTTAGGCAAGTGAGTTATCCTCCCCGTGCCTCAGTTTCCTCATCTGTAAGTGGGGAGGGGGGGGGAATAATGGCACCCACCGCATAGGCTGGGTGTGAGGATGCGATGGAGTGAATGTCAGATGTTGAACAGAGCCTGGCATACATGAAGTGCTCAGTAAGTGTCATTGTGTGATGTCCTGAACCCACCGCTGTGCCTGATACGGAGCCCCCCTCAGTGGCTGAGCTCTGAGGCTGGGCAGAGCGCCCGCCCCAGCCCCGAATTCCAGGGGCGGATGGGGCAGCTACACTCCAGTGGCTGAGACGGCTCCGGATTGCTGAGCTGGGGGAATCTGTGAGCTGAGAAATCTGATAGGCAGATCCCAAGATAGGGTTCCTGCCGCCCTGATGGGCCCACTGCCCAGGGCTGGGCCCTCCCCTTCGACGGAGATGCTGGGCCTGGGGCCCCGGGAGCTCACGGACATGGAGCAGAGAGGGCTTCTCATCCCAGAGCAGGGACCGGGCAGGGCTGCGCTGAGCCGCTCCTGGGCCCGTGAGAGCTGGCTGTCCCCTGCCTCGCAACTCCACGTTCAGCAGTGCTATCTTGGGGTCTAACCATCAACCATAGTGGGAGAATTTACACCGTGGACATTGGCAAGTGCCACAGATACATATTTGGAGAGTTAGTTTAATAGCACGCCACTGGCCGAAACCGGTTTGGCTCAGCGGATAGAGCGTCGGTCTGTGGGCTGAAAGGCCCCAGGTTCGATTCCAGTCAAGGGCATGTACATTGGTTGCGGGCACATCCCCGATAGGGGGTGTGCAAGAGGCAGCTGGTCGATGTTTCTCTCTCATCGATGTTTCTAGCTATCTCTCTCCCTTCCTCTCAGTAAAAAAATAAATTAAATATTTATTTAAAAAAAAAATAGCACGCCACTGGGCACAGGGTTTTCTGCCACATGGCCCACTAGACACCACTTCTGCATTCAACACCTTTCAGATTTCCCTCAGCTCCCCACACCTATGAGTTCCTTCTGTCAGAAAAGCCTTCCCATTCTTTTTCCTCCTATTTCCTTGTTTAAGTCCTGCAGACATAACTGAATAAAGACCAAGAAGGATGACGTGAAAGAAAGTAAAAATGACGCAATGGCAAGGTGATGGAATACTATACATCTGTCAAAAAGGATGTTCTTAAAGACTAATGACAGGGGAAATGCAAAAAAAAAAGAAGTACAAATGCCATGTAAGTAGTGGGGAAAAACGGTACATACAGCCATCAGCATGCCCTGATCCGATGCATGAGTATATTTATATATAAAATGTTATTTCTTATTCACCAAATATGTTTTTTTAAATTTATTTATTGATTGATTTCAGAGAGGAAGGGAGAGGGTTAGAAAGCTGGAAACATCAATGAGAGAGAATCATCGACCAGTTGCCTCCTGCACACCCCCCACTGGGGATGTGCCCGCAACCAATGTACATGCCCTTGACCGGAATCGAACCTGGGACCTTTCAGTCCACAGACTGACGCTCTATCCGCTGAGCCAAACCGGTTTCGGCCAAATATGTTTTTTTTTTTTTTTTAATATATTGATTGATTTCAGATAGGAAGGGAGAGGGAGAGAGAGAAACATCAGTGATGAGAGAGAAGCACTGATCGCCCTCCTGGGGATCCAGCTGCAACCCAGGCATGCGCCCTGACCGGGAATCAAACCTGGGACCCTTCAGTCTGCAGACGACAGATGCTCTATCCACTGAGCTAAACCAGCCAGGACACCACGTGTGTTTTGAGCACCTACTCTGGGTTAGGCAGCGGGGCTCAGTGAGCGGGGTGGGGAGAGACAGAGACAGGAAAGGTGCACTGGGCAGGAAGCAGGAGGTGGTGTGGGGATGCGGGGCTGGTGCTCGGACACCATGGCGTGTGCTTCTTTTAAAATCCAAGCGTGCCTGTGGCTCCCTCTGGTTTCTGAAGGCGCTCGGCTCTTGCCTTGTCGCTGGGCTCCCAGCCGCCGGGAAGCCCTGGCTGGCGGCTGGGAAGGCAGTGCCGATCGCCCCCACCCCCTGCCCACGGGCAGCCCCGCTCGGCGACCTTGGCCTCCCGTCCCCTTGTTTTTGCGGTGATCTACACGCTCGTCTTATCTCCTAAATGTCAGGGACAAAGT